TCAGGAAGGAGCACACAAGGACTTTTAATGTGCCAGAAATATTTGTTACTCAAGCTTGCTAGGTAAATATCCACATGCATAGACCTTTGTTTATTTATTTAAAACATACATACATGTATTAAATACTCTTCTTTATGGTGCTGTATTCTACAATAAAAGATATTTTAAGTAGTAAGTGAATTCCTATTTAAATCAATGAAATTGTTTTAACATCTAGAAAAACTAAAGGAGCCCCCCCAGTAGTCTTAATAATTTTATGCCTACAAATGTGAAAAGTTGTATGAAATGGCAAATTCTATATAATTTACCAAAGCTGATACACAATACAAAATACAAATAATTCTATAATTATTTTAAAAACCGGATCCATAATTTAAAACCTTCCTACAAAGAAAACTTCAGGCCCAAATGTGGTTACCACTGAATTTTACAAAACATTTACAAATGAAATAATAGATACTACACAATCTCTTCCAGAGAATGTAAAAAGAGGACACACTCTGTAACTTCTTTTATGAGGCTCCCCAAACCTGACAAGAACATTACAAGAATAGGAATATAGGCTAATATCACTCATGAACATAGATACAAAACTCATAACAAAATATTAGCAAACCAAACCCAGCATGTACACATGCACACACTCCCTCCCAATCTCTCTATATACACAGACACACACACTCACATAGTTGACCCTTGAAGAACACAGGTTTGGATTGCATGGATCCACTTATACACAAATTTTTTTTCAAAACTATGTTGGGAAGTTTTTCGCACACTTGCAACAATTTGAAAAAACTCACAGATGAACTGCATTGCATAGAAATATCCAAAAAACTAAGCAAAAATTAGGTATGTCATGGATGTATAAAATACATATAGATACTAATAAATTTTATCACTTATTACTATGAAATATATACAAATCCATTATAAAAAGTTAAAATTTATCAAAATTAACACATACAAATACAGACTGTACATGTGTCATTCCCAGTTGAGAGAAATGTAAGCAAATGTATAAAGATGAAGTATTAAATCACAACTGCATGAAATTAACTGTACTACATCCTGTACTACCATAATAGTTTCATAATCACCTCCAGATGCTATTTCAGTGAACTCAGTGTTGAGAGTATTCACTTAAAACACCACGTGATGCTAATCATCTCTAAGCAAGCAGTTAGCAGTGTCTTGCCAGTAAATTGCATATCACAGTAAAAACTGTGATCTCTCACAGTTCTCATGTATTTTTCATTGTGTTTAGTGCAATACCATAAACCTTAAATAACACCATAGGACAGGCATCCTCAAACTATGGCCCACAGGCCACATGCTGCCCGCCTAGGACATTTATCCCGCCCTCCAGGTGTTTTTGCCGCCGCTGCCTGTCCTGCTTAGCAGCCGACTTGTCCCGGGCCCACAGTGCGCACTCTCTAATAGTCTGAGGGACAATGAGCTGACCCCCTGTTTAAAAAGTTTGAGGATTCCTGCCATAGGACATATACAAAGTGCCACCAGTGATGCTGGAAGTGCTCCCAAGAAGCAGAGACATAGGGAAAAGCTGAATTGCTAAATAGGGTGATGAAAATGTTCTGGAATTAGATAATGGTCGTGGTTGCACAATTTTATGGTATGTGAATTATATCTTAATAAAAAGTATTAAAATGTAATACACTCATGGAAAATACAGAAGTATATAAAAAAGAGAAACACTATTAGACAAATATTGATCTTGCTTTTCTTATTCCCCCAGTTTTATGTTTGTTTTTTGTTTTGTTTTGTTTTATGAGACTCACTCTGTCTCTCCTGTTAGAGTGCAATACAGTCATCCTAGCTTACTGCAACCTCAAACTCCTGGGCTCAAACTCCTGCCTCAGCCTCCTGAGTAGCTGTGACTACAGATGTGTACCACCATCCTTGGCTAATTTTTTCTATTTTTAGTAGAGATGGGGGTCTCGCTCTTGCTCAGCCTGGTCTCGAACTCTCCCACCCCAGTTTTAAAACAAAAAGATACTACCATAAAGCTTGATGTAGGAAGCCATAAAGTCTAAGTAGTTATGTCATTTGTATTACAAATAAAAATGATCTAGGAATTTTGGTTCATAATACACATTTATGATTTTCATTTCCAAATTATTATATTCCCTTTGCTGATTAACAGGAAATAATCCAGGCAGGGTCTGGTGGCTCATGCCTGTAATCCTAGCAACTCTAGAAGGCTGAGGCGGGCGGATCATTTGAGCTCAGGAGTTCGAGACCAGCCTGAGCAAGAGTGAGACTCCATCTCTACTAAAAAAAATAGAAATAGAAATTAGCTGGACAACTAAAAGTATATATTAGCCAGGCATGGTGACACATGCCTGTAGTCCCAGCAACTCGGGAGGCTGAGGCAGTAGGATGGCTTGAGCCCAGGAGTTTGAGGTTACTGTGAGCTAGGCTGATGCCACAGCACGCTAGCCCTGGCAACAGAGTGAGACTCTGTCTCAAAAAAAAAAAAAAGGAAATAATCCACTTTAATATAACACTGAAATAGTTTTATTAGGGGAAATGTCACTTATGCAAAGAACCATAAGCATCAACTCCATATGAAAGCAACAATGGGGATTATCTGGACTTCTGCATATTAAATACAAACAACTCAACATATTCTATTTGAATGCATCATTTCCAACCACTATTAAAATGAAAGCTCAGTTATTCAGTGTGATGATGAAACCTCGATTCTTTAGAATTCTAATTAAATGTATTTATTATTAGCTGACTTTGAGGAAAGAGACAAAATGTGCAACTACTGGAATCAGGCATTTGGTTATAAATCCTCTAACCTCTGGAGTTCTAAAATGGATAAATAACCATTTAGTCAACTTTTTAACACTGTCTCCATCATAATACAGCAGCATATGATAAGAATGACAATTCTAATGCAGTTATTTCTTAATGAAAAAACAATCTGTTCCATTTAATAAAGTACCAAGAAAAGAAATTAATTCTCAAGGAAAGGAGCCAGACAACCTCATATTCTCTGAAATGCAAAATCCCAGCTGGAATTAGACAAACTCTAAATACATAGGAAGGATGCATTGACAAATTCACAAATTAAGTTGGGTGCTTGTGGGCACATTTTCTAAAAAGACATAAATGTCAATCCTTCTACCAATCAGGTAACTTAAATTCTAAATGATTATTAGTCCCTAGCAACCACCAATAGAATCCACCAATCCATGACCCTATGCTAGCCTCTCTCTGTCTCCTGACCCTGGCTTCATCCTCCCTCATACTTTCCCATGCATCAAAAACCCATGCATTTGCATCTTGTGCTTCTAGCTTCTGGCACAGCACACACAATTATAATGGGTAAGATAGAAACACAGTTTAAAGGAGAAAAATCAAAATCAAGGTATCTCACAACAGAAGGGGAAAATTTATTTATTTTATCTATTTTTTTTTTTTTGAGATAGGGTCTCACTCTGCAGTGGCATCATCATAGCCCACTGTAACCTCAAACTCCTGGGCTCAAGTGCTCATCCTGCCTCAGCCTCCCAAGTAGCTGTGGCTACAGGTACGTGCCACCACACCCAACTAATTTTTCTATTTTTTGTAGAGACTGGATCTCGCTCTAGATCAGGCTGGTCTTGAACTTCTGGGCTCAAACAATCCTCCCACCTAGGCCTCCCAAAATACTCGGATTATAGGTGTGAGCTACTGTGCCCAACCATGGAAAATATTTTTGCTTGACATTGTTAATCGATCAGAATTCATGGCAAACTATCAAATAGTTATAACATATGCCAACTTTTTATAGGTAGATAGATACAGCCACACAGACACATCCTTCTTCCTTCTCTAAGCTATTTTAGACAAGTGTCTGACCCTGGAGAAAACCCTACTCAAAGCCAGTCTCTTTAATCATATTTCTTCTTGGTATGGACCATATGAATTATTATGGTAATCAACTAGTATTTTCTTTAATACCCATTAAATGAAACCTTCTTTAGGAAACAGTGTGAATAATAGTTGGGGGATAACAAACAGCAATACAATAAAAGAGGAGCAAGAAAACATAGAATTTTATTTTAATAATAAACATTAAGAATGAAATTTAAGCCATTAATTTTATTATCTGAAACTAATCAAGCCCTAAAAGTTGTCTCATGAAAACAAACATATCTTAATTTGGAAATTGTTTTAAAAGCACTCTAGAGATGTCACTTTACATATAAAATGTGACAGAGTAAAGAAGAAAAGGCAACTTTCCCATGCACCGAAAAGCTGCCACAGGCATTTTATCAAAACACATCATCTATGCCTATATTCACCATACCTGAACATACTGTTCTGCCACGCTGCATGTTAATAAAGAATGCAAAACAAAAATAGGGAAATGTTAGCAGAATAAAATGTAACATTATTGCATGGAGAATTATAAAATTAATTCACAAGCTGTTATGTCTAGTATTTAACACAGATCGATAATTTAACATTTTTAAATGTATTAACAAACCACAAATCTCTTAGTTATGAGTGGATTACTCAAGAGACATGTTTTGTTTGTTAAAATATTTTGTCATCTTCAAATTTCAGAGCAAGTTGTAAGATCCTGTTACAAGAATCACCTTCATGTCAATTGTTTAACTCACTTATTGGAACACAGAGAATAAGAGAACAAGGACATGCCTTTTAGGTATGTCTAACTTGATGCTATTTTAAAAATAAAGATTTTAGTCATTATTTAGCATCAGGTAAAAATAACCATTGTCAAAGCAAAGTGTTATCTCAAATCTAGAATAATAAAACTAAAGTTGTAACATTAGACATGAAGTATACATTTTAACTGAGAAAATAGGAAGCCGCCTCAGTTATTCCTAGTTCTTAGTTCTGAGGACAGAAGCTTGCACTTAAAACTTTTCAATATATTCAAAAACACAATGACTATTGACTTGGCTTCACTAATATTTCAGTCGCACGTGGCACAGGGAAATCCCCATGCTAGTACTTACTTCTCTTCTGTGACACAGCCTGCAGGCAGGCAGTCACGATATCACAGTTCTTCTGTACTTTATGCAGAAGCCTATCTTTCTGCTTTAGCTGCCGAAGTAACTTTGCCGACTGAACGCCAATCCTGTACTTCAGCTCTCGAAGGATTGTCTTCAGTTCATTAGTGTCTACCAGTAGAGAAAAATTAAAATAGAATAAATACCTTGAGAAGAATACAAATCCCAGTGTGATACTAGTCAAAAAATAAATATCTAATGGCACCAAAATTCGCAATTGCAAAGATGTGGAAATAACGCAAATGCCCATCAATACATGAGTGGATTAATAAAATGTGGTATATGTATACCATGGAGTACTACTCAGCCACAAAAAACAATGGTGATCTACACCCCTTGTATTATCCTGGGTGGAGCTAGAGCCCATTCTTCGAAGTGAAGTATCACAAGGATGGAAAAACAAGAACCACATGTACTTACCATCAAATTGGTACTAACTGATCAACACTTAGGTGCACACATGGAAGTAATACTCATCGGGTGCCGGGCAGGTGAAGGGGGTTGGAGGGGATGGGTAAATTCATAACTAATGGGCGTGGAGCGCACTGTCTCAGGAATGGGCACACTTATAGCTCTGGCATGAGTGATACAAAGGCAATATATGTAACCAAAATGTTTGTACCCCCATAATATTCTGAAATTTAAAAGAAAATAAATTTTTAAAAGGCAAATATCTGGAACATCCACTTAAACTAACTAATTCTAGGTTCTCACTCAGGATTATTTGTACATATTCAGCTAAGACATTCTGATTAAATAAGTCACTTATTCATCTCCTTGCTCTGTCCATGAAATAGACACCACACGATAAATTTTATCTTTGATGCTATCTTTAACATGTAAGCAAACACTCTTACCTTTACTATATCTAGCTCTGGTTGCAAATTTACCTTTCACTGCCTGAAAATGGGCACGTACATTTTGTATCGTTCAAGTGCTCAAATGGTAAGCTTGCAAGAAATGAATCATTTTGAGTCTGTTACATTAATGACGAATCTAACACATGATGCCAAATCTTTTTTAAAGCACTTATCTTTATAAATGATCAGCTAATAGTAAATAATTCTACCACATTTTATAATGTAGATGAATGTGGCAATACTGGTTTTACTTTAAATATCCAGTCTTCCAATAGCCTATCAGGTACAATATTTTATTTTAGAGACTCATTACTTTTTCAAAGATAGTAGAAAACACATTTCCTTTAAACAGATAAATTAGGATAATTTTATCAATACATTCATAAACCTAATATTCACAGCAGCAGTTTTTCTACAAGTAAAAACAGACTTGGGAATCATAATTGCATATGATCTCTACATGAATAATTGTTATGATTTGGGAGGGGGTTTTTTGGCCACACTTGATATCATTAGTCAGTAGACTGTGATCTACAGGCAGGTGAAGACTTCTACTCAAGCTGGCATTGGCTAGCCCTCATTAGAGGCCCTGTGTGGGGTTTGGATCTACTCATTTTTAAAGGGACTTGGAGAAACTAGAGAGAATCAGAAGAGAACAAAAGAAATGCTCAAAAGTAAGAAAAATAGACGTCCAGGCAAGTGAGTTTTCAGGGTCTATAACAGAAGTACAAGGGATGATTTAATAGCTATCATACCTGACCACGCCATGGAAAATGCTTTTGACCTTGAGTTAAAAAGAACTGCTTTTGAGGCTGGGCATGGCGGCTCATGCCTGTAATTCCAGGACTTTGGGAGGCCCAGGCCAGAAGATCGCTTGAGGCCAATAGTCCGAGACCAGGCTGGGCATCATAGAGAGACCCCAATCTCTGAAAAAAATGTTTAAATTAGGCCGGGCACGGTGGCTCACGCCTATAATCCCAGCACTCTGGGAGGCCGAGGCGGGCGAATTGCTCGAGGTCAGGAGTTCGAAACCAGCCTGAGCATGAGCGAGACCCCCGTCTCTACTATAAATAGAAAGAAATTAATTGGCCAACTAATATATATAGAAAAAACTAGCCGGGCATGGTGGCGCATGCCTATAGTCCCAGCTACTCGGGTGGCTGAGGCAGGAGGATTGCTTGAGCCCAGGAGTGTGAGGTTGCTGTGAGCTAGGCTGACGCCACGGCACTCACTCTAGCCTGGGCAACAAAGCGAGATTCTGTCTCAAAAAAAAAAAAAAATGTTTAAATTAGCTGTGTTTGCAACTGTAGTCTCAGCTACTTTCAAGGCTGAGGCAGGAGGATTGCCTGAGCCCAAGAGTTCAAGGCTTCAGTGAGCTATGATCATCACAACACTGCACTACAGCCCTAGAAAGCATGCATAGCAAGAAACTCCGTCTCTTAAAAAAATAAAAATAAACAAAAGAACCTCTTTTGGATCAGCCAACTACCTGAGTAATGTCTTAGACAAGACAGTGCTCAAAGTCTCAAATTATGCCTCGCAAATAAGATTATGCTGAGATACAAATGTGAATGGTCTTTATAAACATGAATATAAACAGTACTTTTAAGAATAAGAAATTATTGTGAAGAAGGGGACAAAGTCCAGTCCTTCCTCTCACCCTAATTTCAAATATATGGCAGGATATAATGAAAATAGTACACTTAGGTTGAACAAAAAGTATATGGGTTCTAAGGATAATTTAATACAAGAACCAGCTACAAGAGGAGACTGGAGGCAAAATAAAGGGAGTAGAAATATCACCTGGCATTTAAATTATACTTTTCCTCAACAAAAGGGTTTTTACATTATCTCATTTTCAGTGACCCTTAAGGTACCAATTCTCTGAATTATGTTTATGTTCAATATGGGAAAATTTTTCAGAGTTGAATTCCACACTCAATGTCTTCTACGGGAAACGTCTTCTACAGCAGTGTCTGCTGGTGCAAAGCATGCCGGGGAAACAGGTCTCCTTTACCTTTGAAGGTCACCCAGCATCAGCCACAGCCCCTCACACAGTGTTAAATAACTGAGGGAAAATGAGGAAATTGTCAACTGACAAACTGTGACCAACTTCCCCTCTAGGGAGTTCCAGGGCATATGATCAAAATTGTATCTAACCTTTATTAAGTGCTTTACACAGATTAATTTATATAATTCTCACCACACCCCTCTGAGGCAGGTTTTATTATCCCCATTTAAAAGAACATGAGACACAGAGAGGTTAAATAGCTTGTCCAAGGTCACACAGCTAGTAAGGAACTGTGGCAGGATATCAACGCAGGAATCTGACTCCAAAGTTCATCTCTTAACCATGGAAACACTGAGAAAACAGTCCTGATTTCCTGAGAAACCATTTTGGTGTCTCAATCAAATAAAGGACCCACACATATTAAATAGCTAAATAGGTGCTGCAGCAAAATCCCTAACAGTGAAAGGAGAGAATTAATACACAGGTTATCTGCATTTTGTGAGATTCTTACTCAATGCCTCTCAGTTATGGTGGGAGAGAGATTTTTTGACCCTAAAAAAAAAAAAAAAAATCAAATAACCTAATAAAGCACCATTACTTAGGCAGGCAGCTGTATCCATTATCTGAGTCTTTAATAATCTTAGCACTCTAATGATGTTTATCCATAAAGGGGTGTGTGTGTGCATGCGCATGTATATATAGGACTATTATAATATGGCATCTTGTACATCGTAAAAGGGTTGATTGCAAACGGAGAAAGGTTTAGCAGGAAATTAGCCATGCAATGACTAGAACTTGGGCAAAATGGATTCTTACAGGTCTTGTGAACAATTAATAGTCACTCACAGGAAATCCACTTGTAAAGTGGTACTGTTACCTCTTCTTTAAACTTTAGCTTGCCAATTTTCCTCCTCAAAAAGGAAATTACTAATCTCCAAAATTCCCTCAGTAATGAACAGTGAACAGTCTTATAAAGACAGAAAGCCAAATCATCATTCTTCAAAAGTGATTTTGCTGGAGTCTGAAAGAACTATTGCCCTATGGAATTTTTGCATACACAGACACTCTGAGAACAGCCAAATAACTGTATAAAATGAAATGGCATAACTCCAGCCAAAGTTCCAAGCAGAGGGAGGAAGGTAGAAGTCATTTGTAACAATCAGCTGGGAAAAAAAATCTTCACTAGTCAAAAGAGGAAACTGAAAGCTGTTGACATAAATTTGTGAAAGCAGACAGATTTATTGGTTTTGGGTTGTTGTTTTTTTTTTTTTTTTCTGGAACTAGCTAGACTGATTTTTACAAAGAGGAGACAGGAGACCATTATATAGTACTCTTTTTCCTCCTTCTCCTGGTAATTTAGCACAAGGCCATTACTTCCAAGAAATGTTATGATGGCTTTTAGCGTGTTTGCCACACTTCACTTTATTTTGTAAACTGAAATCTTGATATATGCATACAAAAAGCCAACTGTAATAACTGCTTTGGTGCCTGAAAGGCAAGCTATTATGAACAGTTGAGGGGAAAAAAATCTTAATTAGGACACGAGCATCAGAGGCTGATAACAAAAGAAACACCAAATTAGCCTCTCCTCTTGAAAGCAAGTCCATTTTATCAACCTCTCCAAGCCAAATGAAGGTACCAGCAGTTAAATTCTGTAATGCAGCAGTCCCCAACCTTTTTGGCACCAGGGATAGGTTTCATGGAAGACCGTTTTTTACCCCTGGACCAGGGGATGGGGAGGCGGAGCTCAGGCGGTGATGCCAGCGATGGGGAGCTGCGAAACCTGACCTTCCCTGGCTCGCTGCTCACCTCGCCCTCGCCCCGCCTCCCCGCCGCCCGGTTACACGGAAGACAATATTTCCACGGACGTGGGGTGGGGGCGGGGGACAGAGCTCTGCAGCCTGGTCCCTAACAGGCTGTGGACCGGTACTGGTCCGCGGCCCAGGGTTTGAGGACCGCAGCTGTAATGAGGCCGATGCTTTAGGACCCTCCGCTAACCCGCCACCTAAAAGAAGGGAAAAACAGACCCAAAAACCACCTGGTGAGCTGCTTGGAACCGTAGGTTCAGGCAGAAATGGAATTCACCCGCCCTGCTTCGAAACCGCATTATCAAGTTATTCTGCCTCACTAGTTAAACACTACCCAAGTGGTGTGGCCAGGGAAGGCGGCCTTAAAAAAAAAAAAAAAAATGCCCTAGAGTCGCCTCTGTTCTGCAGGCGCCCTCTAGGGAACTTCAGGCATACACATCAGAAACTCCAACCGGGTCCTAACAGCTGTTCAGGTGAAATCAGAACCCGGCTGCCGCTCCCCAGGGCACCCACCGGCACGCAGGGGGATGGGAGGAGGGGGACACCCGCCCACTCTGTTAACTGACGCTCTCGACTCGACGCCTGGAGAGGGGACAGGTGGGAGCATCATGAACTAAGTGTACGCAGGAATCTGTGACACTGTGGGCGCCAGCAAGACAGACGCCCCACACTTAAACCCGAGCGTTTGGCGGAGCAGGCCGGGCGTGCACAGGTGGGCGCTGGAGCGCGGGCAGACAGGGCGCGGGCCGGCCCTCACCTTTCTGCCGCAGGTACTCCATCTGGTGCCGCTGGCTCGGCCGCTCCTGCAGCTCCTGCAGCACGCGGGAGTCGCCCGCGCCGCCGCGGCCGCCCGGGAACATGTCGGAGCCCGAGGCCTCGGTGGAGCTGTCCAGGCTGTCGCAGCGCCGCTGGCGGCCCCAGGGCCCGCGGCCGCCGCCCGTCGCCTCCTCCTCCTCGGCGCAGCTGTACAGCTCGGTGAGCAGCCCGCTCACTAGGGACGCCGTGCGGCTCGTGCGGCCGCCGGCAGGCTCCGGGCGCTCCTCGCCCTCCCACGAGTCCCGGGAGCCCCGCGGCTGCTCCGCCGCCCCCCGCAGGGGTGGGGCTCGGGGCACTCCGGGAGCCGCTTCCTCCTCCGCGCCCTCCGGCCTCGCCCCGCCGCCGCCGCGGAACTCAAGCCCCGCGCGCCCCGGCCGGCCCTCCATGGCCCCGAGCGCGCGGCTGCCCCGCGCCCGCCGCTCCTCCGGCCTCGCGGCGCCGGCCAGTTCCGGGAGGAGGCGCGGCCTCGGCCCGCCCGGGGGCGCCCTCGGTCGGCGCGGCGCCAGCGGGCTCCGGGTTCCCGAGGCGCCGGCCCGGACCTCCCCCGGCCAGGAACCCGAGCCGATGCTCTCCGCCCCGAGCGGGGCGAGGAGGGGGCGTTCACGCTGCTGGGCTACCTGGGGACACCTGCTGCCAGGGACGCCGACTTCTCCCGAGAGCGCTTTCTGACGAGCGTCGAAGAGCGGGCTGCGGCCGGAGCACCGTCGGGATGGCGCGTGCTCGGCCTGCAGAGGGCAGGGCGCTCGGGCCGCTGCCACCTTCACTCTCAAGCCCGAGATTGGACGCAGAAAGAGGGCAACCGTTGCATCCTCTTCAACCTCCAGCTAGAAAAATGCCCGGGAGGGTCCCAAACGCCAGCTCAGTGGGCCAAGGCCAAGAGCTCGTTTGTAAAGCTGGTGCGCAGTGCCCAGCCCTTCTCACCTTTCCTCCTGATCTGAGCGCCTTTAAAAAGGAGTTTTTAGTTTTCGTTTCTGACAGTAACCTTTCTAAAACTCTGAACACCTGGCAGATACTTGGATTTAATAACGCTGTGAACTTTTTTCCTCCAGTGAAAAACAAAGTATTGGTTTAATATCAACTAATTCCATGACACACGACGTAACACAGAATGAGGGTTTAATAAAGTATTCGTGAGACGACCAAACTAATAAATCGATGAAGCTGGTTTTGAAGGTTAAAGCAAAAGTTTACAAGAGACCGTGAGAAATGTATCTTTACATTATTTACACTAGACCTCAGTAGAACTCTGAGACGCCCTTCCACTGTGGATATTTTTGTGACCTTAATAATAATTGTCAACATTTTGCAGTGCTTTTTGTATGCTAGGCACAATTATTAGTGATTTACATTAATTATACCATTTGTCAGTTTGACCCTATAAAGCAGGTAAGTACTATTAATATTTTTATCCTCACTTTTCAGATGTTGGAACGAAGGCACAGAGAGATTAAATAACTTGTCCATTTGCGGAGAATAAACTGAACTTTTCTTGAAGTGTCTGGCTTTCGTTACTAATGAATACATATTAATCTAATGCTATTAAATCCTTAACCGTACTTCTGAAAGGAGAAACAATGCACCTGGTGAACAATAGCAGTGCTTTATGTTTGTTTAGCACACTTTTTATTTTTCAAGGCACTTTTACAATAGAGCCTGACCCTACAGGTAGAAACCTGGTGTTCCTTGACATCAGCACCACAATAAAAGGGCCCTTTTTGAAATTGGAGTTCATATAACGAAAGTAAAACTTTTCTTTTTCCTTAGATATCCAGAATTTTAAATTATACCAGAAATATTATTTTATGGTTGTATAACATAACTGTGTTTACTACAGTTACCATTTAATGTTAAAGTGCATGAAATGGAAGGAGTAGAATTACTTATTAAATTGCTGTTTTGTTTTTTGAGGTCTTTTTCCCTATTGTCCCTGGCATTGAATGAATCCTGAGAGCCTTCCTTCATATGCCAAACTTTGCAACTGTTGCTGCCCAACCAGGTTCAATTGCTGGCTGCCCAAGAGAAGCCAATATGCTGAGACAGCACAGTTTACGGGAGAAAGTTTATTCTGCATAGCACTAAGCGGGGAGACCAGAGAATTTGGAAAACGGTTTGGCGTAAGCAATTGAATCTGCTAAATGGCTAGGTTCGGTTTGGAACCATAGGGTTGTAGAAATTGTCTTCCTTGCTGACCAGGTTCTTGGGGTGGGCATCACAAGACCAATTGAGTCAGTTCCTCTGGTATAGGCCACTGGTCTGGGTGAGTCAGCCATTCCACTGGAATTCGGGACCTGGAACATATCTCAGAAACTATCCCTATTTTCAAAAAGGTGATGTTATCTCTGGAGAAAGTTAAGCATCTCTATGACCACCAGCTATGTGGCTCCAGAGTGGAAATTATAGAGAAGCAAACAGGGGGGTAGTGGCTGATTATTATCATTATTTTTAGCTAGGCCTTTACCACAGTTATTGCCTTGCACCCCTTTTTATTAAGTTGTGAGGGTGGTTTCCTAAGCAGGACTTCCATAGATGCAAACACTGAAATTAGATCTCTTAGTTGACTGCTCAGCCCTTTCTATTTCCACCCACTAAGAAAAGATGTGATAACTACTCGCCTTCAGTGCTATTCTCATTTAGAGTATCTGTATCAGGAACTATAAAGAAATTCACAGTGAAGGCCGGGTGCGGTGGCTCACGCCTGTAATCCTAGCACTCTGGGAGGCCGAGGTGGGCGGATTGCTCAAAGTCAGGAGTTCGAAACCACCCTGAGCAAGAGCGAGACCCCGTCTCTACTATAAATAGAAACAAATTAATTGGCCAACTAATATATATAGAAAAAATTAGCCGGGCATGGTGGCGCATGCCTGTAGTCTCAGCTACCTGGGAGGCTGAGGCAGGAGGATTGCTTGAGCCCAGGAGTTTGAGGTTGCTGTGAGCTAGGCTGACGCCATGGCACTCACTCTAGCCTGGGCAACAAAGCAAGACTCTGTCTCAAAAAAAAAAAAAGAAAGAAAAAAGAAACTCACAGTGAGCTGAAGGGGGTGAAGAAATAAGCCAAGAAAATAAGAGTTTATTGATATTCAACATTTCTAAAATAATAGGAATTTCAAAATTATTTCCCACTCCCCATCATTACCAAATCACCTGAAGAGAGGAAATTGGCAAACTAAAAATTAACAAAGAAAGCTAGCTTAAGGTCTTAAGGTCATTGTATTTGTTGGAATGATCATCCTCCAGATATCTGCATATCTCACCTGTACCTCACCTGGGTCAGGTCTCTGCTTGAACATCTTTTCCATGGGTCCTTCCTTGCCCACGCTATTTGAAATTGCAGCTCCCTGTCCCCAGCATTCCTCTATTTCCTTTCTTTCTTCTCTTTTTTCCATAATACCATCTTGCAACATGCTACAGTATATAATCTACTCATTTATTTTTATTTATTTATTTATTTATTATTTATTTATTTATTTATTTTTTATTTCGGCATATTGTGGGGGTACAGATTTTAAGGTTTCAATAAATGCCCATTTCCCCCCTCCCCCCACAAGTCTGAGACTCCAGCATGACCATCCCCCAGATGGTGCACATCTCACTCATTATATATATATATACCCGCCCCCCTCCCCCCTGCCCAATACCCTATTACTGCAGTACCTATGTGACCATTTAGGTGCTGTTCAGTTAATACAAATTTGCTGGTGAGTATATGTGGTGCTTGTTTTTCCATTCTTGGGAAACTTCACTTAATAGTATGGGTTCCAGCTCTAACCAGGAAAATATTTTTTTGTTTTTGTTTTTATATTCATTGTAAGTGCTCAATAAATATTAGTTGAATTAATCGAATAAATAAAATGAAAACTAGAGAAACGACCAATTACTTATTTTCCAGAGAAAAATGACTTTCATTAAATAAAAGCCTTGAAGTGGTATTGGCAAAGAGCAGCCCCTTTTACCACCCTACATTATTTTCATGAGATGACTGAAAGACCCCAGGCAAGTTCCCTGGCACTCTGGAACCACTATTTGGATATGAGAGAGAATCGTTGGTCTAAGAGAACATGACTGTCAAACTGATCATTGTTAGAGGCAAGGACCCTCAAAGACCCTCAACTTCCCTATGACTTATCCTACATGCGGGCCTCGCCCTAGAAAAATTCCTAGGACAAAAACAACACCCCACCCTCCAGCTATAGCTCCGAAAAGAATGCGTTCCAAAATGCTCCAGGGTGTGCTAACTGCAATTGTTCCCGACCACCTGCCAGGTTGGGGTCAAGTAATCAGTCACAAACCTAGATACCAATAAGATACTGATTGGGGCTGATTAGCCCAAACCCAAGACTCACCGTCACCCCACTGCATTTTTTGTTTCTACTTCCTTGTTTCTGTATGCTTATAAAACCTACTAAGAATCTAAGTAAAGTAGACCTTGACAACCCTTTGCTTGGTCTCGTTCCCTTCTCTCACCCATCTCTTTCAGGCAAGGTCCCCCTTGACCCCCGTGAGTAACAGAAGGTCCCGCAGGCCGGGACAAGTGGCGCCCAATGTGGGGCCCGAGGTACGGACCTTTGTCAGGTGACGCCGCGGTATGCTCTTTGGCCGAAGGAAACCCTACAGAGACCCTCGTTCTGCCGCTCACAGAATCGACGGTCTGGTGAGTAAATTTTTACATTGTCACCCCATTGAGATGGGCCATTCATTGTCTAAAGAGGCCGTTTTTATCAAGGATCTCAAGGCCTCACTCAGAGAGAGAGGAATTAGAGTTAAGAAAAAGGATCTAGTAAAGTTTTTTGTGTTCATTGATCGTGCTTGTCCTTGGTTTATTGTTGGTGGACCTGAGATTCACCCACGCAAATGGCAGAAGGTAGGCAGAGATTTAAACAATTTACTTCTGAATCAGGGCCCAGATGCCGTCCCTCTATCCATTTTCACGTACTGGGGACTAATCAGAGATATTGTTGAGGGAGCAGATTCAGACCCCAATAAAAAGCAGCTGCTCTCAGTAGCAGAATTCTGCCTCCGACCCGTGTCGCGGTCCGCTTTGAGAACGTCTTTAGAGGCGACCGGAGAGTCGGCTTCTCCTAATGATCCTGAGAGACCAACATGCCCTTCCCCTCATCCTATTCAATTTCAGTTGGCCTCGGGGAACAGCCAACAAGAGAACCCCCAGACTCTAGACTCCTCTGAGCAACCACAGGGAGTGCAGG